GCCGCAGCCACCTTGGCCAGCAGTCAGGAATTCTGGGAGCTAAAGTCCAAGACAACTGGAGGACCAAAATTTGGGAACCACTGTAATAGAGGGATGAATCAGCCTGTCAGATACAACATCAAAACAGTAGAATATAACACTGGGAATTTTGTCAGCAACTGCGAAGACATTTGAGGGACAGCATTCATAGCCTAGCTAGCTACTCTGTGTGCTGTGTTTTGTTTCTTCTATCTTATACTTTCCAGTCCAATAAACACTTGAGGAGTCATGTGAAACAATGTGCTTTGGATTTATCTTTGTAGAAACTGAACATTCCTCACCATCAAGTATACATACATAAAAAAAAAATCTTCTCAACATTGTTGCTAATTTGGGCTTGATTATTTTTTTTCTGAGAGAGCCAGGATGGCATAGTGGTTTGACTATACCACTGGAGATCAGGGTTTGATTCCCTAGCTTTGCCATGAAGCTCACTGGGTGACCTTGGGCAAGTCACACACTCCCAGCCTCAGGGGAAGGCAATGGAAAACCTCCTCTAAACAATCTTTCCAAGATTTGGACAAATCTAGCCAAGACCCTGTGATAGGGTCACCATAAATTGGAAATGACTTGAAGGCACACAACAAACAACAAAAAATTTTTTTCTGAAAGATACTTCTGTTTCCCAGGGATGTATGCAAGTAAATGGTTACTGTTTATCTGCACTTCAAAATAAGGAAGCGCATCATAGTGCTGAGAATATTTGCTAATCATCATCTTTTGTGGGGCAGTGGAGGATAGTTCTGCTTTAAATAAATTTTAAAACAAGTCTTATTTTACATTTAGGTGAAAGATGTTTTTCAAGAGTCTCCATTCCTTGTAAGGGATGATTGTGTCTCCATAATGGATGGAACAGATGAAGGTAGGATGAACTTGTTTGTCAGTGGCTTCAATCAGTTGCTTTCATTCTGAGACAAGTGTAGTGTTTGCTGCTAATGAGACTCTCTTCACTTGGGTTCTACAGAATAACATAAGCCAACCTCGCTTCCCCATTCCCTGCCTAATGAGTTTACAGAGAGGCCTTTTCAAACAGAAAGTGTCAACCATTGTAAAAGGCCTCTTTTGGACCTAGGTTGGCCTGGGGAGGGTTAAAAATGTGGAAAAATTGCCCCTGTGCTCTCTGGAATATTTGGGAAGCAAATATGATTTTGTTTTTTAAAAATCTACTTTTTCTGAGGTGGGCTTGTGTATTATGAGTTTATGTTCCCCAAATGCAGGTAATCAGGTGTTTTCTTGCCAGTTCATATCCAGCTCCTGGAATTTGACTATCAGTTTTGAGCCAATTGACTCTGTTTGTAGGGGAAAGAAGGTGAGGCAACATCCTGTAGAGATATCTTCTGTTTACAAGGTGCTTTATTTGAGCAGTTCCTTAGCATAGTTTAACACATAAGCATTTCCTTATACAGATATGAATTGTGTGTCAATGTGAACACCCTTGTTTAAGACCTACAGTCTACAGGCCTCATGTGGCCCTTCAAGGCCATTTTTGTGCCCCCCCCGACATAAAAACAATTTTGCAAAAATGTTTTTTGCAAAAAAAAAATGTTTTGTACCAGAATGCCCCCAAATGTCCCCAGATATATGCTAAAGGATGTGGAGGGCATTTCCATCATGTTTGGAGGCTCCTCCCCCAATGTTTTATTTTAAAAACCCTATTTTTTTCCCAAATGCCCCAAAATGTTCACTATGGGGCAAGACACATTTTCACCACATTCTGTGACCTCTGTGAGCCTAAATAAGTCAGGAAGTCCCCCAAACATGGTGAAAATGCCCCCATATCCCCCTAGTAGGGTCACACTTTTTGGACATTATTTTGAGGAAGCAGGTGAGGCAAACAGCTGCAGCCCTCCAAGGTCTTCTGAGAGGCTAGTTGCCCGTGCCTGTTAGTAAGGCCATTAATACATGAGAGCAGGTTCTTCACATGCATCCCTAGCTGTATAAAGAATTCTGGCTTAAAGAGGACAACAAATTTTCGATCCTTTTCTTCTAGTTCACCAAAGTTTTACTGTATAGTTGTAGTCAATTTATACTATATATTTATTTACTGTTTTTTATTTTATGTGATCCCCTCTTTCCCTTGGAGCTGGGATCCAAGGTGGCTGTCAACAGAATTTTTTATAAAAAATTACCATAATGAATTGTAAACAATTAATACAATAAATGTGTTTTAAGCATAAATTATTTCAAAGCAGTATTAAAACTCCTTCATTTCAGTAAATTGAAAGATGAAAAGCTCCCATGTGTTCATATCAGGCAGGCAAATGATAAACAACTGTCTAAATAGAAAGGTCTTTCCTGGCTGGTGGAAGGACGACAGGGAGGAGGCTAGCCTAACTTCCCTCAGAAGGGACTTCCAGAGTCTGTACAAGTGCCAAGAGACCCTTTTTAACATTGTCATCAAACTAACTTCTGGAGGTGGCAAGCCTGAGAGAAATGGTCTCATGCAAATCTGAAAGCTCTGGTCTTTGAAATAGCCTGAAGCTTTCATACAGACATATGTAAGCTGCCAATAATTTATTTTCTCTTTCTTGAATTTCTCCATTTTTTAAAAAACTAGGCATTTCTGCGTGGATTACTGTCAACTTTTTAACAGGTATGTGCCTAATCAAATTGTAATCTGTTAGGTATTCCATGTTATGATCCTTCTGAAATGTCCAAATTGAAATACACTTTATAAACTTCAGCATTTACAACAATATATGTATTCATCTGTAAGTAAGTACCAGCTTTTCCCCCAAGAAGGCATATATACCGGTAGTATTGACACCACTATTGGCTTGGGTAAAACTTCAAGAGAGAGTCTGAATTTTATACCTCTGCGTATTTAAAATATATTTAGGCAAATACAGATAAATATAACAGCTACACACACTTTATGTCCTTGTGATACAAAATATATTTCTAATGTTACTCCAGGAATATAAAGTTAAACAGAATACCACAGAGTGCTGCTTTTCCCTCTACTGAGGAGGGCTGAGATATACAAGGTGAATATGCCCAAGAAGGTAGTTGGATATATGTATGTTGATCAACAGAAAAGAATCAGAATAGAGCACAATATTGCTATTAACTGCTGAGTCTTTTGTTTTCTGATAAATTTCTTCTAAGTTAGGGACAGTCAATGTTAACTTCCAAATGTTGGGTTACAATTCCCATCAGCCTTAGCCAGCATAACCAGTGGTGAGGTACGATAGAAATTGCAATGCAGCAATATCTTGAAAGCCACAAGTTGGCCACTCCTACATGAAGACTATATGGGAAACACTGTATCTGCTTCTCTTTTCCAAATATCTGTGTTCATGTACCCAGGAATAAAAGTGAATTATAACTCAGGCACTCTGAATTGGGAAATTGTAAAATGTTTTGAACTTGTGGATGTTTACTTGACAATACTATATGGATTTTATTAAGATTTCCATTAATTTTGTTTTAACAAAACTGTATTTCAGATAGTTTGAATGCTCCAGAACAGAAATGTGTAGGAATGCTGGACTTAGGAGGTGGATCAACTCAGATCACATTTCGCCCAAGCACCAAGGTAACAAGAATACAAGTCGCTTTCATCAAAACAGTTGTGATGAACTGCCAGACTTTTTGCTTTTTCTTGTTTACCAATGATATTTTTCCAATTCGATTTTGGGAACCAAACATTCCATCTGAGTATGCATTCAGAACTTGAACTCAAGAAAAAGAAAGTTAGATGTCAGGTCATGACAGCAAAATTTTCTTAAAACATTTTTTACTTTGGAATTTAGTTAGTGTAGAACTGTATACACAAAGTGTTCTAGCATCATGACAAAAAATTATATGGACTACTGACCCAGAGGATTGTGTTACTGCAGTAATATGAGCTAATCCTGTTGCTTCAGTGGTTATCATAATCTTTAGATGCAGTTTCATACTATTGCAAAAACAAAAAATTAAACCAGTTAAAGCGTGTAGAAACCAGGTGGAGATGCGACATGAAGTTAAGTCTGCAAAATCTGTGTCTCATTTAAATGGTCTCTACTATAGTGTCAAAATGCTGATAAAGTAAGTGACTGTGTTATTGTCTGATATGCATCAAGACAAGATTGACTTCCTTTGTCTCAGATAGGATGCCACTGTAATTGCACATCTGTAGGACTGTGACATGGATGTGTGTGTGCGCACATGTGCATACATGCACCTTCCAGTGACCTTGTTGACTTACAGCAGCCCCATGAATTTCATAGTTTTCTTAGGCAAGGGATACCCAGAAGTAGTTTTGCGAGTTCCTTCCTCTGAAATGTAGCCAACAGCCCCTGGTATTCATTGGTGGTCTCCCATCCAAGTACTAATCAGGGATGACCCTGCTTAGCTTCCAAAATTAGCTGGAATCTGGTGCTTTTAGGGTATATAGGCTCTTACAATGATGCTGAGCTCTAGCTAATTCAGATTGACAAATGGGAAGTTTTACTTTTCATCACATCTTCTGTGATCTTCCCTAAATCTTTCTGGGTATTGCAAGGCTCAAAATGTGGATTAGGGACCACAGTGAAAATGGTTAATGGTGTGAGGTGTTGGATCAGAAGAAGCACAACTGGCTTTTCCCCACTATATTCTACAAAGTGAATGGGTTCTCTTTTATGTTCCAACCCACTGAAAAATATTAACACGCAATAAAGCTATCATCTGCAAGTATGGGGCGGAATGCTATCAGTATGCTGATAATACCCAAATATACTTCTCCATGTCTTCAAAAAACAGCTTCAGCTAAGAATAGTCTGTCTGCGCTGAATAAATGCTTTCACATATGCACGAAATGTCCTTTTTCTTTACAGACCACTCTGGAGAGCACCTCTGCTAGTCACATCACTTCTTTTCAGATGTTTAACTCCACATATAAACTGTATTCGTACAGGTTAGTGGATTTTAAAATATAAGAAAGTTATTACAGTAATCCTTTACTATTTATAAAAAGTTTCCAGTATGCACAGAGAGGCAGCATGGTGTAGTGGTTTGACTGTTAGACTTTGACTCTGGGAGACCCGGGTTCAAATCCCCACTTGGCCAGGGAAAATCTGACTTTGGGTAAATCACATTCTCTCAGCCTCAGAGGAAGTCAAAGGCAAAAACCTCTCTGAACAAATCTTGACAAGAAAACCCCGTGATAGGTTTGCCTTAGACTTAGACTTGCCATAGGTTGGAAATGACTTGAAGGCACACAACAATAATACATTCTAGCTGAAATTTGGAAATTGCAGAAATCCCTCACAGTAAACTCATAATCTAAACAAATGAGATACTTGGGTGAAGGGAGTTGAAGGGAAACCTTGTACTGCTAACTGGGAGTGAAATAAATTACGTACAGTTAAAGTATACAGTAATTAACTAGCGAACAAAATTGATATTGGGAAAGTAAAATATTCTATGTTGGTAGAACCTAGTGTGTGAGTGTATGCACATTCCATGTAATTATAATTTACTTGAGTGCATACTCTGTGTTTTGGATTTTTAAAGGTATTTTGTCAGACTTAGAGTTTTAAAAATTATTTTGTCAAGTTTTGGTAAACAAAAAGTTTTAAAAGGGGAGGTTGTGGGCCAGAAGCAAGGGCTTTTGGGCAGGAGGCACTATAGGATCCATAGGAAAAGAGAATTAACCAGATAGAAAACAGACATCTCATAAAGCATTACCATTCATGAGGTTTCCAGGCCCTCTCCTGACAATGTTGCCCTACTGTAGCTGAAACTGTTTGTGCATGGACACAGGCTTCAATGCATATTTCCCTAATTTGATAAGAAAGCAGGCACACAAAGAAATGCTGCCTGTGCATTTCCTTAGTTTGAAAAGCTAGATCGCAGAGCTGGTGCTGTGTATCTCATCTGTTTAGGCAAAGTGGGAAGATGGTAGTCTGAATCAGTTCTACTGTTTCCCTGAACTGTTGCCAATATTTTGGTTGCTGTTGGTCAGACCCGGGAGGCTAAATAAGACTTATTGCATTTTTGTCTGCTACAGGCTAGAACTTTGAGGGCAAGAATTTTCAAATCTCAGAAGGCCACTGTGCTTAGTCTGTGCACTCTTTTGCTGCCCCCCCCCCCAATTTTGATTTTCTCTTTAAGGGCATGCTGTCCTTTTTTTAGCTATTTAAAAAAATGTTCAGAGTGAATGCAGACTAAATGCTCTAGAATTAGAATTTTTCTTTTCAACTTTTTCCTCATTTAAATAAAGAGGTCATTTGTAGATGCCTTATATATGCCATTTCTCCTTTTGCATTGTTGTATTTGTCTCAGAGAAAAACAAATTTCTGCCACCTTGAGAGTGACCTTTAAGAAGCCTTTTTTATTACAAAAGAGTGTAAATTTTCAAAGGAGGCAGACTACTTTATTTGGTGCTTATGATAAAAAAAAGTCAGTAGTGGCAGTGAGAGAAAGCTGCTGACTCCAGGGCACCATTTTCTCCAGTGCATTGGATGGGCAGGTTCTTGGAGCCAAGTTGCTCTGGGAGGGTTGGCTTGGGCATTTGCCTCTTTTTTGGTACACTTTCTCCAGTGATGTGCAAGGGGAATATTCAAGCCATCCTTCTTGGAGCAATATAGTTCCAAAGACACACCTTTAATTGCATTGGAGCGAATGGTAGGTTGGAGCCAGTCTCTTCCTTTTTCTGCTATTGCCATCTTCTCTTTCTCCTTGCACATCCCTGAAGAAAGTCCACATTACAGTCTCTTCACACACAGTACAAATGAATCCCTTTTGGGGAGAAAAGTGGGTTATAAATCCCATAAATAACACACACACACACACTGGATTCAAGCTACTGTGTTTTTAACTGATGCTGCCTTGCAATCAAAATGAATTAAACTTCAGTACCAGAGCATTGTTTTGATCTTGCTTTTATCCATTTCTCTAGTTATCTAGGACTTGGGTTAATGTCAGCAAGACTGGAGATTTTAGGAGGAGTTGAAAGAGAGGCCTGTAAGTGTTAAATACATATAACTTCAGTCATGCATGGGGATTTTTGTTTTTCGGTTTCTTACGTTCACCAATGTATCAACTCAGAGTAGGTCATAACATATTTTAAAAAATTCAGATTATAAAAATTATACATGGTAACTACACAAACAATAGAACATATTAACATCTCCCTTTCTGTTTGTAAATGTTTGTTTGCAAAGGATTTGAACCAATGTAGATTTTTTTAAAAATTATGAGATAATTATTAACTAAAACCGATGAACAACCACAGTTAAAATAGTCATAATATACTGCTCTGTCTGCTGGTTTAAAACATATTCCTTATGGTTTGGTAAGTCTTAAACCAGTCTATGGAACAGAATGGAAGTGCTGTCAAATAACAAAGTATCAAAACAACAGGAAGACAGTGTAAGAGGATAAATAAACTTTTTTGGTGGCAAAGTAAAAAGTAGCTACTGAACAGACCTCTCTTAAGAGGGTGCTACCAATGAGAAGGCCCTAAGCAAGAGGTGGAGACTTTATTTCTCTCAGGGGACACATTGCCACTGTTAGGTGTTACAGTATACAATAAGAGTATTTAGAAACCAAAATGGGAGGAATTTACCCTTTCCTCTCCTTCCCCCTTACACACAGAGGCTGTGAGGAGAATTAATGTCAGAGATATGAGTTGAACCAAAACAAGTGCCTTAGCAGTGCTAGTACTCTGTGACTTAGCAAATCCCTGTTGAGTGAACAAGGAATGGAAAGCAAGATATCATATACTGATCAAAGAAGTTGGGTTGATGGTTCATTTATCATAGTGGTTTTTAGCTGTGATTTTGATATTTTCTTATTTGATGCCACTTCCATTCTGGTTTGTAGACTAGTTTTCTCTTGAAAAGCCATGTGGAGTGTGTCCTAAACCAGTGACAGAGTGTTCTAGATCAACTTAAACTTCTGTCATGAAAATTGCCCAGTCATAGAAGCTGTACAGTGCAGCTGCAAAACAATCAGGCCCACACTTACCCAAGTCTTTAAGAATTCTGCAGATGGTAGGAGCAGTTGCTAACAGTGCCTGTCTTCATGCATACATCATTTTAACTTTGACACGTGGATGGAATAGACTGAGAGTATTAGAGGCTGATTGCTTTTCACATGCATGGGGCTAAAACACAAAAAGGATGCCTGAACAATGAATTAAAGAACATTTGTTAAAGATGTATTTTAATATTTTGTGAGTCACTCTAGGAATCTGCTTGTACTGATAAAAAAATTAATGAATAAATAAATATGCAATGTCCTTATATCGAAATGTATGCTGCAGTCCATACACTTAACCAAGAGGCATACGATTCTATAATGAACTGCATACAGAAACTCTTATGTCCAAGCTCTCTCTGCCCTTTTCTGCTGTTGTTTTTCCTCTCTTCCACACACCCAATATTTTGTTTTTCACTGATATAGAAACAATGGTGATTCATGGGAGGTAGGTTTTGTCAATGTATAATAATAATAATAAGTTTTATTTTTAACCCGCCCCTCTGCGTGGCA